TAATAAGAGTGTTAATGGCACCTAGATCCCAGCACATCTGTATACAGATTCTTAGGAGCCCAGACCGGGAGAACAGAAGACAACCTAGGCTCAAACTGAACAAGTTCAAGCCATTAAGAGACCACAGCAGGAAGGTCAAGACCAGGACTGAAGATACAAAATACCCAGATCAGGAACCCAGGAGACATGAGGAGGACCTGACATCCCGTGCCTCTTGTCCTGCATTTCACCACAAGGAATCCTACCAGACAGCTTGGACATGCACAGCTTGGTGCTTGTGAGTATGCGGTTATGGATCCAACCAGTGAAACTGGCTCAGTTTTAATGAAAATCACCTTCTCCTGTAAGGCCTGGCACCCAGCTTTGTTACACCGTTACCATAATGTTGCAGCATTATTTGCTACTTTGAAGATCGACAAGATGCTCTCTTTTCTGAGGGCACCCAGGCGGGACATCTGTGCAGAGGCTCAGCAGCTCAGCAGTCTGGCCACACTCCCCCTGCGGCCTTCACTTCTCTGTGGACAGCTCATAGTTTACCAACAGGGTGGAGGACAGGGATGGGACCTCCACAGAAAGTGCTCCGTCTCCCCTTTCTGGGGGGGGGGGGAATTTGTGCTTGGATTTGCAGTGACTTTCCAGCAGTAACTTGTGTAGAGCATGATCTGGCCTAAAGCTGCAAGTGCCTTGTTCCCAGCTGAGTGGTTCTCAAGTTACCGCTAATGGTTGTGGTGACTTAGGACAGCTGGAACCCACTGCATCCCCTGGCACGCACCCAGCGCATTACGCTGCTGCTGGAGACTGCTGTCTGCCATGCTGGGTTAAGGAGCCATCTTAGGTTACACCAAGAGGAATAGCTTGAAATAGGAGACTCCCGATGTTGTGGAAATGCCAACTGTGAAACGAACACAGTTACGGAAGCAGCATGTTTTCGCGCTCCCTTTTTCTTTTTACTTTTCCAGATTATGCAGCTAATTTCTGACATTCCCAATACATCAAAACAAGTGCGTAAACAATAAGTCGATAAAGTGGTGAAATGCCAGATAATTATTATTGCTACCCAAACATCTGGGCATATGAGTCGTACAGTAACAAAATGTAGAGACTACCTTACCTAATTTAATTACACAATGTTGAGGAGCACTCTAGTTCATCCACACGGCAGGCTAATCAACTCGCAATTTAACTGTAACTCATCTTTTTCCTAGTCAAAACACCTTCCTATTTATGCTTTCTTGCAGAAAAACAGCAAAGCCCCAATTCAGATCCTTCCCTTTCATCTATGTGGGGAATGTCTGACAGCTTGTTCTTTGCTGTAAAAATTACTAATTTTTTCTGCTGGTCAAGGTGAGAGATTTGCTTTTACAGAATAAAAGAACTCTAACTAGTTCCTGGGAGTCAGGGACATTAAAGACACTTTGACAGTAAGTGGCCAAAATCAAAATGTGGCTTCTGATGTGACTAAAAGACAGGCACAATAAGGCTTGACAATAAGGCTGCTGAAATCCTAAATGAGGAGAGTGATTCAGGCCAACCAGCACTCCAAGTCCATCAGCATAAACCTGTTTTCTCAACAGACCAGACACACATCCACGCTCCTGTCTGTCTCCTACAAAAAAAATCCCCACGTGTTACGACAAAATAGCAGTCCTCCTGTTTGGAGCGACAATGAGTGACAGAATTAAACACCTCGCTAAGTTTTGATGGCAACTGCACAGCCCTTCCACAGATCCAAATTCAGCCCTGCCGTCAACACCTGCATCGCCACTGAGGACAACAGATTTCAACTCAAGAGCCGTAAGTTATTCTACGTGCAGCAGGTGCTGAAACTTCACTGCCAACCAGCAGAGACTGTGTCTCTCCTGTATAAGGAGAGAGGAGTACGGATAACGCGCTCTCATACAAGGCAAATGCACATCGCTAGGAATCACTACAAGCAGAGCCAGGTCTGACATCCTGGCCCACAGCATGCTGCGTACCTGGAGAGGGCTTGGCCTCCTGGCCAGTAAATTGCCCAGAATGGGTCCCCATAAGGCCACAGGTCAGGTTTTTCCCTCCAGAACCTGCAGCGAGGGGTGAGGAGGCGCAGTCGTATCTCTGGCGTGAGGTGCCCGCTGCTGGTGACCTCCGTGTTCTCCTCCAAAAATGCTTTCACCTCGGGGTCCAGAGACTTGCCGGCGCTCCAATGGCAGCAGCGCTTCCAGCGCAGAGGGGGGCCTCCCCTCCTGCTCCTCCAAGCCTTGGCAAAGGTGTTCTGCCTGCCCACAAGGAAGAGCCACTTCCAGCCGCGGAAGGCCATGTCTCCCCAAGGACAAACCCTCCCCAGGAGAGCCTGGAGCACAGCTTATCTGATGAGCACAGCAGGTGATGAGGCAGAAAGCTCAAAACAAACTCACAGGACGTTGGTTTTCATAGTGATGGATGACAATTCCTGAAAGGAGAACAATGCTATGTAAGTGATGTTTCTTCAGTGGCTTGAAGTCTATGCACCACCAGGGCTTTAGGAAGAGGAGGTCGACGTGCTGTTGTGTGACCATGAATGCGTGCCTTGCACCTGCCCAAAGAGCCTTTGAAGTCTGAAAGAAGTGGTATTTAAGGAAGCTATCAAGAGACCCGTTCAGAAGAGTGCTAGAAACGTATCCCGTGAGAAACAACCAGTTAGCGGGACAGCTGATAGAGCTAAAAACTAAATGTGCAGCCTTTTAACATCTCCCTCCCTCTGCCTTGAAGACATACACACAGCAAGCTGCCCCCGTTTAAGGTTCTTCCACTGAATCCTAAGAGTTGCAGTAGGGCTCTGGCATTGCAGGTCCTACGGACACAGCAAAGGTTATCAGTAGGTTGCCTGAGAGATGCCATTAATCACAAGTTTTATAGTGGTGATGAGTCTTTTATATGAAAGCATCTTTTCAAAGTCAAGCAATTAAAGGATTTCCTCAAAAGACTTTCCTCTTTCTCCCTCAGATTTGTCAGGCTGCCAGCTCCAAAATGATGGGGGGAAAAAAAAAATCCCCAAGAACTGATCTTAATCAGAATACTCCCAGTTTCTTGCATTTCAGTCTGTATTTTAAAGGATCGCTTAGTCTTATGGTGCAACAGTCTCAAGTGGATGCTCTCAGATGTAGAAGAAAGTAGGCCTCCATCACTGTAGCCTACTCCCTGTGAGAAACTATATAAACGTGCTCCAAGCTGTCTACAGAGAGAGAAACTGCATCCAACACATTAAAAAAAAATTAAGTTTTTAAAAGGTGAGACATTCAGACTAGATGAGCTCACACTCAAAGGCCTCCTGACATCACTTGAGGCCAGTTTTCAGGTCACAAGCAGTGAAGAAAAGGAGAATGGAAAATTGGTACGTCAGAGTTTAGACTCATTTAAGAATCAGGAGAATGGAGAGCGGAGAGCCACGGCACTCGTCTGAGAGGCAAATGAAGAGCCGCCTCTCAGCACTTCATCACCATACTCTCCTCTTCCACCATCTCTTGCAGACCCTGGGTCTTCCTTACGCTGATCCTGCGAGTATCCTCACCAAGCGGTGGCCGGAAGAGAGAGCAACCGTTTTCCTGCCTTCCTGCTCAGGTCTCCTCCTTCATCCATCCTTTACTATTTCCATATCTTTTTTTCCTTCCTCACCTTGCTCTCTAATTTCTTTTCAATAGCTCGGACTCTCGTGCTTCAGGGCACAGCTTTTGAACCTCCCCCTAGGCTGATGACCAGAGAAGCACTGAAGGCCTGTGCTTCCACAACAGCAAGAGACTGCAAGTACGAACAGACACACGAGAAACTCACTCTCTGTTTTGCGATTGTTTTCTCTCTTCCGCAGCGGTTTTCAAGAAAAGGCAGAACGATGCATGAAGAAAATCAACTTCAGCCCACCCCTGCCAATTTTTCACAACAGAAGAATTGTGGCCAGCTTTGCCATCGAGAGCTGTGCGGGTTGTCCTTAAAAAAAAAAACAGACAAAGGGACAAGAGGAAAAATATGCTAATAAAACAAAGTCTTAACGCTTCCCATTTCGTGACTTCAGTTTTTCTTTATTTGTCTGTACGTTTAGTAAAAGTTCATATGTGTTCAGCGGCATTTTTGTTGTGTGCTGGCCTCTGCTTTAGGTACTGGGTTTAGTTTGATCGCTTACTAAAATGTTAAGCTGTGAGCTTCCCTCCGGTAAGACTTTGCTATTTAGGCTGATAGCCCAGTTAAGTCTTTGCTTAAATCATTGGCTAAAGGCTTTGTATCTTTACTACAAACAAATAAAGGCGACTGAACGTTTTGCAGTTTTCCACATTTGAGAATGCCGTTCGGCAGAGTCCATGTAATTAATGAACGTAATTAACAAATGCCTTCCTTCTTGAAGGCAGAGCTATATGATCCCCATCTGCCTACGGGAAGCATGAAGATAACTGAAATCAATCAGCGATGTAAGTCTTGCCAGCTACTGCTGTATGCTGTTTTTTTCCCCATGAATTGCTGCAGATCAGCAGGGCTGAGATTCAGCAGCGTGTATTTCGCATTGCCTGTCATGATGGTTACTCTCTTTAAATCAATTGCCTGCAGAGGAATATCTGCCAAGAGCTCTGTGCTCAAAATGCCAAACCGAGCTTAAGCATTTAGCGCAGGAAGGCGTCAGGATATACATCCTCGCGTTTGACACTCCCAGCCTTCCCACCTTATTGGGAATAAAATCAGCGGGTGAGTAGAACTTGGAAAAGGGGACAAAACCAAAAACAAGCAAAACCCACCAAAAGAAAACCCCAAAAACCAATTCCTGTGCGATTTAAGCTTTTTTTTTTTTTTTTTAGGAGCAGCAGGTGCATAACCACTCCGACCCCGCGTTTCCCATCGGAGGAGGGCAGACCTCACCAAGGCCGAAGGCTGCCCGCTTCAGCGAGGGAAGCAAACCGCGCGCCGCCACCCAGCCCTGCGGCCACCGCTCGCCGCCTCCATCCCGACACCCCCGGCTTG